TAAGACCTGAATACAAAGAATATGACTTGTTGTTATCACTGATCTTGATAACTTGTCTTACAGTTATAGAGTGTTAGTGGAATTTTTAGATAACTTAGTTTGCTTATTCATACTTGACATGGTAGGAAAATAGATTCTGGAGTTTCAGAGATTAGTATGTTTTAACTGAAAAAGCATGTGCACCAATTAAATGTTAACAGTACAGCAAATAATATTTTATATAGCGGTCAGTGTATCCTGTTTCTTGATACTTTAACTGAATTGCTGTATATTTTGATAGTTTAAAATGTTTTTATATCTTATAGATGGTCTGGTACAGGTTTTTGTTTCTGGTTTTTGTTGTTGGCTTTTTTTTGTTGTTTATAGCATAAAGTAAAGCAGCATCTATTTGGTTTTTTGTTGATTATTCTGTTTCTAAATTGTGCTGCTCCTCTTTCAAAAAGTCCTGCTTATCTGTACATCAAAGAAAAATATTCAAAAATACTGCCTTCATTTTCACACACAGTGCTGAAGATGCTGCAAGCACCAAATCATAGCTCATAGAATCAGGTCCTGAGATAGTTACTACCAGTAAGGAGGAATCCTTTGAGTGTATGCCATTGGTGAGCCGATGAGCATGGACCATAGAAGGGCTCCATGTAGAAGGTAAAATTGGCAAAAACAGATTTGAAATGTATCCCATACATAATGGTGTAGGGTATAATTTTTGTTTTGATCACTTTTCATTCTTTAAAGTATTATTTGTTTGACCATAAATGTTCCATAATCTGTTAAGTTTTTTAAACTGTGATTTAATAATATGAACCATCTATTTTAATTTATATTCTTCTAAACAGCCAAGCTTAGATATATTGAATTTTTGAACTAAATCAATAGTTGTGCTTCAGTTTTTCTCAAGCCACTTAATATTTCATCTGTAGTTTAATATGTAACTTCATTTTTGACATGAGAAAAGGTTAGGTGTGTACCATTTGGATTTTGATACTGTGAATTTAGTGTTGGGGTGAGTCATTTGTTCACTTCCTTTTTACATGATACTTTTTTCTTCAACTGTTGTTGCTAAAATATCTTAACAGCCTTTCAATTGTAAATTTAGCCAGTGGGAGGAGATAGAAAAAGCCAGTTTATTGGAATGTTGCTAGCGTGCAGAAGATGAGATGTTCTTGTGTGTAGCGTTTGAGGTGTATTGACTTCCAGCTTTCTCACTGCTGGGCTTACAGGCATGCTGTTTTGTGCTAAGCATAGTGTTTATTTTTCAGCTCTGTCTCCAAACTCATAGTTCTTAGGAAAACAGAAAATAGATTATTGGAGTTACCCTGATCCAAAAAGATAACTGGACTTCCTTAGAAATGCAATGAACTTTTCCAAAAGGTGTCTTTAAGTGTGTCCTGCTCCCCCCTCCCCCCCCGCCGCCTTAGTCCCACAAAATAAGTAGAATGTGAAGAGTACAAAGAGTTTAAAAAGGAAGCATAATGTTCAAAGTAGGAAAAACATTTTGGTATTACTTTCTGCAGCCTATACTTTAGGACATGAAACAAAATGTCATGTGGATAATCTTCAGTCTAGCATGATCGTAAGTCATCTACTTAAATTGTCCAGGCAGACAGGATCGTTACTCACTTGCACAGCCCATCTTGAAATACTTCAAATACTTCATTTTTTTTTACTAGTGGTATTTTATTGGATGATAGAAACTGTTTCTCCCCTGTTCTCTTCCAAAGTAATTTTTAAGTTTTCCATTGCATGCTGAAAGCTTTTTATTTTGCTTTTTTCTGGAAGTGGCGGGAGGGGGGAAGGGAGGACTGGGCTTTTCAGAAAGCATACAGTTGACAGGATTCCCTCTTCCCTAGTAATAGCTTATAAAGCTCTTATGTGTGCACAAATATTTCTCTTGCGTGCATGTGAAATGCCTTTTCGTCCTGAGAAAAGTGTTCTCTGCAGAAACTACCCGTGTGTAAAAAGAAGATTGGCTTTAAAAGGCAACTGTGATGGGAACAGTGTCTTAGGGAGATGCAGCTTGGACTTGAGGTAAATTGAATGCTTTACAAAAATGTGGTTTTGAGCTTGCATTGACATTGTATGTAATATGGGTACACGTTAACTGTATAATGGTTTTTTGTATGGTTTTTCTCAATAAATGTAAACTGATGGATAATAATAGCAATGGTTTTGTCTTCTTTATGCTCCTACCCCTACCTTCATTAGTTTGAAATAACAGCTTCAGAGGAAAGATCTTGCAGCAGCTAGTACTTCTGTGAATGAACATCACCCACATGAAATGAAGTAAAAATTACTTATGTGGCTATTAGGATAAATACTCATTCAAAACACCTTACTACCATTTTTTCAAGATGTTTCTGAATTTGTAACTGTTTTATTGAGGCAAAAGAGTGACTTCCAATAGATAACTGTACAAGGAGCAGTCAGCAGATTCAACTACAGGAAAATTTCTTTTTGAAGTGACTGCATAAATCTAATTTGCTGCAGCTTACCTTGTTTTCATGTTAAGGCTTATACACATGTTCTTTAAAATGTGAGCATTGCTTGTAAAATTACTCCTACAGAAGCTTAAGCTAAGCTGAACAATTCAGATGGTGTTAGCACAATGACAGTAGTGTTGATATCAAGAGGTCTTAGAGAAAAATAGTACAGTAGCCTTAAGAAGACAATGTTTAGAGATGCAACAGTACATTTATTGCATTAAGAGAGAACAAAGATTGAGAAGTTAGGCACTTTCAGAAAATACTTTTCTTAAAGCTTGCTTCCTATCAACTTAGCTATGATAGGCTTGTATTTTGTCACCAGCTGTTCCTGTATCATTTAAGCAATGAAAAAATCAGAGGTTTTACAAGTAAAGACTGCTACAAGCCTTACTGAGGTTGTTTTTACTTTTGAGTTATCAACTGCATAGGTTGGCAAGAGCATAACAGTTTAAATGCAAGCCCATTTTAAAACAAAAGAACTAATGCTCTTCGGAACAAAACAAAAGTGAGCAGTTATGTAATCTTTTATTCTTTAAAAATAGTACACTGGGGTTTTCGAAAATCATCCATAAGTATTTCCTTTTGCCAGTTCAATACCTCTGGGATAAAGTAAAGCAGCTTAAATATTTGGTGTTCATGCAAAATATACCAATAGATTTACACTACTACACAAGTTTCCAGATTGTGTACTTAGCTTTATAGTATTACACAACAGTCGGTCTTCAAATGTGGGAGCGCTAGTATAATTCAGCTTTTTCCTTTAGTTGATCTTTCATACATTGATTCCTTCTCTTTAGCATTTAATACTATTTTTTGTATTGTGCAAGGAACCTGGATGCTCTCACAATTTGAAGATTATTCTTATCTGATGCAGGAATGACAAATCAATGCATACCCTTGCTTTCTTTAGTTGGCCCCATCAGAGAAAGAGATGATGCAACAAGAAAGTTTTGAGGGGAAGAAAGATTCCAGCTAAAGTAGAGCATTAGTAGTCATCAGCTAGAAAATAAAAGGGTTAAGAGAAACAGATAGTTAGATTTTGATAATAGGAAAGATGTAGGAAGAATATTTGAGAATTAATCGAACTAAAATGCTAACTCTTACTTTCAATGGTGAGAATACAGGTGCTAGCAGATGTGCCTCTGTTGTTGACCGCTTTACACATATATTCCCCTTCATCTTCTGGGAAGGTTTCTGGCAAGTAAAGGCAATAGGTTTCTCCTCTTTCGATATATTGATAGTCCTCAGAGTCCTGCAACATTTCCCCCTCAAACCACCATGTAACTTCAGGTTTTGGTTCTCCGGTAATTTTAACTGTAAATCTCACTGGCTCGCCATCAACAACTGATGTGTTTTTCAGTGACTTCTTGAACCAGGGGGCTCCAGATCGAGCTTGATCCTCCTCATCTTCACAAGTAGAACCATTAATAATGCTTCCCTCTTCTTCTTCTTCCTCTTCCCTTTTCTGTTTTAAAATAAGTCAATTTAGAACATTTAAAGTGGCAATAGTGGTATGGCTGCTAGTGATACATATTCGATTACAGAAAAGTTACGACGTTTCTGTCCCCCTTAGACAATACAGTGCACTGAATCTGGATATGGAATGGGCAGTAAAATGGGTTTTAATGAGGCTGGAGTCTTGGGGTAAAATACAGGCAGGAATGTAGATACTATTTGAAGGATACTTCCTTTGCAGTATCTCATGCTCTTCAAGAATATGTGAAAACACCAAAAGCTGTTTTACATTACTGCAGCAATTCACAGCAGCTGTTAAAACAAGTCTAATGTGTCTTTCATCCCTCTGGCACTGTTGCCATCAGTGGTAATCAGAAGCTAAGTTAAATGACACTTAGGGCTGAAAAAAGGTACTTTGTAACTTATACCTTCTGTAACGCTGCATCAATTTCTTTTTGTTCAAACTGCATGCGTAGTAATTTCTGTTCTTCAATTCTCCTCTGCTCCTCTTCTTCCCTCGCTCTTGCCATCTGCTCAAAACGGGCCTTCATGTTCACTTTATGAGTAAATGGAGCCTCAGACTTCTTGGCTGGTCTCACATCTACCTCATCGTCCTTGGGGGGGAAAAAAAATTAAACAGGACTTAACTCACTACCTTGTAAATGTGTATGATAATAAACCTGGTTTTGTTGAGCAGTAGCTCTTAACTGAGCAAAGCCACCCAGAGTCCTGTTTCTCTCAGAGGTTGGTTTAATGTTGTGTTTTAAGATCAAGTCTCGCAATAGTTTATCTCAGGGATAGGGCAAAATACTTGCAAAAGTAATTTCAGAAATGTTAGATAGAAAAATACTCCCTAAAGATTTATTTTCATATAGAAGTTGTACAATTTCTTGGGGCAAGGGTAAATCCTTAGTGACGTGGCTTTTCATGCCGTGATGCTATGGTAGCTTCAACACCTAATGCAGGTTGACCCTGTGTTGGTCATTAAATTAGAAGGTCAAAAATAAAAGGCAGGCTTTGAGCTGATGCTGAAGCGACTGCCATGGGTAGGAGCCCCGGAATGAGGCTCAGATCAGGCTTACTGCTGGTACATTTCCTGCACCACCACATGATTATGTCGTGAAAGCTCACGGTGGCGTTTTGGGTCACAGAGCATAGTGTTGATTTATTGGTTTGACTGATAGCCTCATTTCTTGTTTTCCCCCCCTGAAAAACTGAGAGAGGTTCCAGCCTGAAGCGTAGATCAGTAGGTGTCCTTCTCTGCTACCCCGAGAAATGAGCAAAGACGCTAAAAAGACTTGATCTTCAAATGGTATTGTTTGGGTTTGGTGCGTTTTTTTAATTCATACAGTGGAGAATGAACTAGAGTTCAGAAGGAGAAGCAGTTCATGTGATGATTAATAGATTCATTCTCAAATACTAATGTTTCAAGCCCTCAGGCTGGCCGGTTTCAGGTTGTTAAGATGCTGAATTGAGGACTTTGAGTAGAGTAATAGATCTGTGCTTTGACCAGATGATTGATAATAAACTGGTGCTGTTTCCTGTAGGGATGCTGAGGTGAGACTTCCTCATGCATCCCCAGGAGGGAACAGGAAAGAAGGGAGACAGTAATTTTGGAAATACAGCAAACTTTGCTGAGAGCAGCAGCACTGTCCAGTCCTGGACCATTAGCGTGCTAGTGAAGTATATCATTAACATACGCAGAATGCAACTTACCTCCTGAAACTTTTCAGCTTCCCTTTCTCTTATTTCTTCATCCATTGCTCTTCTCTTAGCTCGCTCTTCTTCTATCTTCTTCTGTATTTCTTCTTGAGACAATTGTCCTATTTTTTCAAACTTGCTTTTTAGGTTCTTGGCCTGAATAGAACCGCTTCTTTTTAGCTTTATTAATTCTTCATATTCTTTGCTTAGCTCAAAAGTTTCAGACTCTTCTTCCAGCTGTTCAGAAATTGCAGAACGTTTAAGATGGAAAACGCCCTAGTTACGTTTACTACCTGTTCTCCCCACAGATAGATGTAACTTAATACACTTGAACGCTTCTCTGAGTTACTTGAAATCAGGATTTCTTTTTTTTCCTCGCTATTCTTAGGATTATGGCATTTGTATTGCGTCTAAACTAGATACAGATTTTAAAATATCTTGCTTGAACTACCCTTTGTTCAAGGATTACAGAACAGACACACACTACAGACTCAGAAAACCAGACCACCTAGCGATACAAAAACACTTGGTTATCCTGGATGTGTATGTTACCTTTCTGACATACTTGTAATTCATATGAAATAATTTTCTAAAACACAGCTACTTTGTTAAACAGAAAATTATTACTTTTTTTTTTTTTTTTAATTTGGCAAAAAGCAAATGAGATCTCAGGATGTCATGGCTGGAAAAGAAATGGCAGTTCTGGATCCCATAGTCAAACAACATCTAAAGCTGTAATTGCTGGTATTTTGCTCCCTCCTTTTATGACCTCTGGCTGACAGTGAAGATGTATGTGCATTTTAGTTGGACACCCTGTCTCCCCCTTCTTCCCCAGGATGTATATATAAAATTTACTGGAAAGGTTCGCAAGCTAGAGCCTTTATTACTCACTCTAGCTTCACTTAACAACAAAATAATGAATTAAATAAATGTAGTCCTCTACATTCAGAAGGGAGTAATAAAGAATTGCCACCCGCAACCAAATCAAATTGAAGTGTGAAGTTCATGAACATGATGTTCTAGACATCTGGTATGCACAGCAAATTTTGTGTGTGATTTTTAAAATCAGCTGTGACAGTTTTCAACCCTTGATACACGGATTAGAAATAAGTTGAGGCCACTGTAATTCTTTCCTAATTAGTTAACACGGTGTTCCCTTGAGGAAAAGTAAGAATTTTGCTCTTTCCTATGTTCATTTTTGTATATTCATTTGGGAACTAGATGTTTCTGTTCTCCCAATATCGTAAATATTACATAATCATTTTAATAATACCATAAAATGGTCAGAAGTGACTGTAAAATAAAATTGCAAATTTGAAATTGTGCTTTTACTTGAAGGGTGGCAAAGGGTTAAAACCATTTTCCTGGTAGATCAGTGATAAAAAAAGTGTTGTCTTATATACAATGTTACAGATTTTAGTAATTAACTGCAATGATCTATTACATTTTTATGCAGAGCATGCTTAACATTTCCTTCAATATACAAACCTCTCCCATTTCTTGTCTTAACTGCTGAAATTCTTGCTTTTCCATTTCCAACTTTTGCCTGCGCTCTTCTTCTGTGCGTCTCTTTTCTTCTTCCATTTTTTGTCTCAGCAATTCCTCAAAATTAATTTCCAGTTTACCAGGCACGAGAGATTCTTGAGAAAATGTTTTAAACATTTCTGGTGATTCATCATCCAGCACCTGCTGGAAATTCAGAGCATTAATGAAGGTACCTGTGATGAAATCACAGCGTTGCTCAGACACTAACGATAACCAAGCCTTTTGCCACATCCACTGCTGTACAGCAAGATGTGGGTATTCCTCTAATGTTTTGGGAGGGAGTGTGTTTGGTGGGGGTTTGTATTTGACTTTAGCTCTCTATTATTGCAATGCTAAGCTTCTATAATGAAGGTGTTTATTACAATGCGGACTTTTTTGCAAGATGGTGGAGGGGATGTCCTCTGAAGGCAGCTTTGGGACCTGAAACAATTCATCCCTGTTTACTTCACTGACAATTGTTAGACAAAGTGCTTGTGCTTTAAGTATCGTTGCTCTTCATGCTGAAGTACCTATACCTGTAATCTTTCTTCTAAGTAAAATGAGTTATATTCCCGTTCTTAAGCAATATTAGTATTCCCAGTAAGGATGACTGAACAGAATTTTCTACAAGAAACTCTTCTTGTTCACAAATTAATGATACTAAGCTATGTTGCCAGTTCATTGCTTTGTACAACCCAACAGCAAAGGTTTCCTCCTTTCCCTGTCCTATTCTTGGGCTTCAGAGCAGCGTTGGGCTGTGATGGTCATTCATGAGTGGTGTGCTCCTTTTGTAGATTAATTCATAAGATGGTAGGGCTTAGGAAAGTCGATTTTCATTACTTCCAAAAGCAGGACGTGTAAGAGTGAGTATTTTATCAGACTGAATTTGTTGAAGCAAAGCATTACTAAAATATGAAGCTATATGCTACAAAAATGGCCAGGTAGCATGGCATGGCTTAGAGCAGGAAGATTGTAAAGTAACTTCTCAATAAAAGTATGTTGGTGCACATAGCTATGTAAATTGATTAACAGAGATTGTCTCGGCAGGAACATTCTGTAGATAAATGTGTGAGATGAGGTCAGATACTGATCTAGAACTGTGTGGTGGTATGGCTTCAGGCACTTTTTCGCATATCTTCGCATGTTTGAAGAGCCTTGTGGCAAACATTGAAGAGCCCAATGTGCCTTAAAGTGCAGGCATTTCCAACAGTAGCAATCAGTCAAATGCTAGGAAGAATTAAAGGAGCAAAACTTTAATTTGGGAAAGTGTTTTGACTAGCTTTATAAGGAAACAGAAAATAAACATATTTTTACAAGATTTTTTGGCACTCCCTTTTCTCACCCTTGCTACTTACTGCCACTGTAACTGCTGTTTGTGCCATCGTAGTTCGTACCTGTCTTGACCTACTTTGCCCGTATCCTTTTTCTCACAGCTCTTACAGTATTTTTTTGGGGCCAACCCCACTCAAATACTGCTATTCACTATAGATTTCCTTCAGATTTTCCCTCTGAGTAAACTTACAGTTGGACTTCAGCCCCGCCATTCCTTCCATTCTTCATTCGTTTTGCATAATATGAGCATATTTGTTGAAATTGTAGAGTCAAAAAACAAGACTCTAAACTATTTCCTTTAATGAAAACAATGCATAGCCACATAGTTTTCAGAGGCTAACCACGGCTGAATTAGCAAAGAAATGGGAAAGTCTCTTGCTTGTGATGCATTGGCTCATCACTCCAAGGAGATACAGAGCTAAGTGAATAGAAGCAGCATTAATTCAAAATTTACCAAAGCATGTATGTGTAAACTGTAAAAGCTGTGCATATGAGCAAGCACTAGCAGCTGTCTGCTCTGTATTTTTGAATCAGTAAGTTAGGAAAAGACAGCAAGCCAACTCATTTCTGGTTAAAAAAAAAAAAAAAAAACCCACAGGAAAAAATTCAGCTGAATTGTGTGATGCACAAAACCCTCGTGGTTAGTTCAGTGAATATTTTAGCCCTATTTTGTGAAGTGAGACCATACCTTTTTTTTTTCCTGCAAAGTGGGAACAGATGGTAGGGAGAAACAGTGTGTCGTAACTACAGTTTGCAGCACAGTCAACCAATTTTCAGTGGGCGAACAGTGACTGCTACGAAGTAGAACTTGGTTTTATTTGTGCTAAGACAGGTTCTTTATGTGGTCTCTAATGGAAAGAGACTGACTGGGATGAAAGATGAATGCTTCAGTCTGAAAGTGATCGCGTTGATGGTGGGAAGCGTGGAAGTAGAAATGCAGCACAAGCAAATGTGAGCCAGGGCGAGCCTTCCTTTTGGAAGTGGTGGTGTTGTTTGTGGTTTCCAGCAATAATATTACTACTTCTGTGTATTTTTTCAAAACTGAATTAAAATTAATAAACATGGGAAAGGTTCTAAAATAGCTACTTAATTTAAATGCTTAAGTAAGAGTTGAATGCGAGGTTTTACTACTGAAAGAGATTACTGATGTTCTTAAAATGTTTAAAAGCACAGCTGCATTGCTGCTACGTTGTGTAGCTGTGGAAAAAAGGTAAAGCGCAGGCCTGTATTTTCTGTTACAAGTAATAGATCACGTGGAGTTCGTATTCAGGAGGCTAATTTAACAGAAAATTTTCACACATGAATATGCTGAAAATACATTTTCAGTTACTTTTTAAAATTATTGAACGTCTTCACTGTTTGCTGTTACAGTGCAATCATAGACTCCGTGCTGCATCTAATGGATTAAACCCTGTTTAATCGGTGAGATTTTTCTTGCCCAGACACTTGAGCTTAGGTTCTTGCTACACTGAGGCAAAAAAAAGAGAGGTTCTCAAGAAAGGAGGAAAAAAGCAGAGGACAGCACATACTTTCTTTGCTTTCCTTTATCTGTCTGCTGGCTTTTTATAAAAATTGTATGGCAGAAGTCCAGCAGCACTCTTTTTTTTTTTTTTCTTTTTTTTTTCTCTCTCTCTAGTGACTTTAGCTTCTGTTTTCTCTCTTTGGAGGTACGGACAGACACTGTTTTCCATATTTGCTTATGCCAGAACAATATCAAATAAAAATTGACATTGTAGTTTCTCTGGGTAGTCTTTCAGTGTAGAAATCTTGTCTTTGGCCCAATTTTCACGTAGAGGGAGCCCTGCTAGCAATATTAGCAGTCACACACCCCTTCAATTTTTCTAAAAAGCATTGCTTTGAATGGTGAAGATTTTATTAGGCATGCAGTTGGTCTTTCCCAATAAAACCACAGAGGGGAATGTAGGAAGATGCTGCCAGCTGGGCGGGTTATTCCCCAGTTCTGTACAGCATGTCTTGCCCTTCCTATCAAAACCAACAATACTTAGTTTTAGCTGGTAGTTGTGTAATTTAATACTGTGTTTCCTAACATCCACCAGTAAGTGGCTGGCTTGTCCCCAAAAGCCTGCTGAAACTTGAAGCTGTTGGAATAAGCATGAATAATACAGTGAAAAGCTCCATGCTAGTTCTGTTTTATAAATAATATCGTTGCCACCCTCTGAAACCAGGCCTCTTTTTCTGCTTTCAGGTAGCATCAGTATGTCAGCCCTAGGTCCCTGAAAATTTGTCTTCAGTATAATACTAAATTTTAGATGTCATTGCATAGGAGAGAGATCTGTATTTGTCTAAGGAAGTTCCATATTGCAAGTTGTTCTGATGGTAAATGCCACGAGTTACTTTTCCTGTTTCTCTGAACAAGCACTGAAATACAACAAAACTATCAATTAGCTGGCTTCAGTCTTCTTATTTTTTTCCTTCCTAAGGGGCCATAGATGACTATGAAGCTTGTACTTGTAGTGAGCAATGTTCTAGTATGTCATTAGTTATTCTTTAGCAAGTCAGAGCAGATTGGTGGACACCCTGTAAAGGCAGGGAGATTAACTTGGAGAAGTAAAAGGAATTGCTCTCTCCCCCCTCAAAAAAAACCCCAAAAAACCTTCCTTGTGAAAACATTTTGCATTCCAAGATGGTTGCATCCAGCATAATAATACCCACTGGACACAATATCTGCCTTTGACTAAATTATTTGAAATCCTTTCTAGGCTTGCTGTGAGGAGGGATTGTTCTGTGATGATTTTTGGTAAACGAACTCTATTAGTTTACCCCCCTACCTTCTACTAAGTAGTGAGGTGAACTAATTAACAAAGGAGTTGAAGCACACATTCCTAGCTGTATTTAAAGCTTTTTCCCAGAGCTGCTTTCTAGTTCATCGGAGACTTGGGTAAAAATTAAACTATATACTGAACAAAAATGCCATACCATGTTCTTCCTCGCTTCAGCAAATGCTCTTTTCTCCTCTTCTATGCGTCGTCTTGCATCTTCTTCTGCTTTCCTCTTTTCCTCTTCTCTCCTCTGTCTTTCTATCTCCTCAAAACTGAGTCTGAGTTTGCCAGGACGGAATTCTTTAGCAGAATTTTCAGATTCTTCATCACCACCTTCATTTATCTTCAGAGAAGAGGGAGAAGAAAAAACAGAAAGGATTTATCCAAATACAAAAATATTCTTTATAGTAAATAAATACTCTACTAATTCCTTTCCCATCTTTTATAAATGTTTTTTTTCTCCTGGGGAAAAAAAAAATTTATCCAGAGTTTGATTCTTATAAGAAACATTTTAATCTTCGTTTTAGACAGGGAGGGAGAAGAAAAACTTACTTCAGTATCCTATATGTAGCTGGTATAATTTTTAAAAAACTGTTGAGTGTGTAATTTGAAGAACAATGCATTATCAGGAAAAGGCTGAACGATTAAGTACATATTCTATGGTCTCGGGGTCAGATCCTTTACTGTAAATCACTCCCTATTCGCTTTCTTTGCATCGCTTCCATAGACCTTTACACCATCAAGTCTTTTTGTTTGCATATAAATTGTTTTCACCAATGCACTTACCAGTTAAAAAAATGCTGTAGAGTCTTATAGCAAAACTAAATCAATTAACACTTTGCTATTACTCCAGACTGAGAGTTTTGTTTCTTTTTGTTTTAGACATTTAATCATCACTGAAGAAAGGGAATTGAGATACTCTGATCTCTTCGGTATTGCTTGTCTCTCGTGAACACTTACCTGCTAACAGAAGCCTGTGGTTTGCAAACTGCAATCAAGACCAAAAGAACAAACCGTCTTCAGAAGACATCTCAGAGTGCTTATTCGTTAATGGAGCAACCTGACTGGGAACTGTCAGAGCATTGATATTCCAGATTTCTGTAGACTGCAAGCAGCCCTGGGACTGGTACGTGGGGTAGCCAGTTATGGGAATTACAGAAATCTTTGATTTGGAATCCAGGGAAAAAGGAAAGAACTGAAGGAAATTAACTGCAGAACTCTTCCTTTAAGAAAACTTTTGACAAATTGTGACAACCACTGGTGTCAGATAAAACTGCATGGTAGAAAATTTCTTTTGAAGTAGAGAATTGTAAATTACTTTATATTTCTTGGTTCATAAATGGACACATGTAAGGGTGGGAGATGTGAACAAACCTTCAGTTAGAATGGCTAGTGACTTCATTAAGTTCAGTGATTTATTGGAGGTGTGGCTGGAGAAGTAAACTACAATTTGGGTATCTGCCTAAACCCAGAACCTTCTCAATTTGCACCAGTTGGGAATTTCAGTGTTTCAGCTTTCTGGAGGTTCTGTGTTGTGGGTTTGTTGGGTTTTTTTCTTGGAGAATATAAATTTCTTGAATGTTTTTTAAATACAGTAAACATAGTGATCTTGAGCTGTTTGTCCAAGAACATCTGTTCACAATTATACTTTTTTTAAGTTAGTAAACTCCATGGAAGATTAAAATCTCATTTCTCATTCATCTTCTTTGTATGTGAATTAACAAAGTCATAATAATCGTGATTGTACAGGGGAAAGATATTTAAATACAGAACTTAAAAAAATGCTTTTGGAAATGGAAGATAGTAAAGTGAGGAAAGATAGAAGTAACCTATCTGGTATATCTAAGTGTATGATTCCTTTAGTATGATCAAAGAACAAACTATAGTGAGGTCTGTTTATAGTTGATCTAGAGTAAGTCTGCCTTATGGTAAGGAACACATATGGAGCCAATTTTGCAAGTAACACAGAAATTGTGAGCTACATTTCTGACCATTTGGAGCTTAGTTTAGTAATTTCTAGTATATTGGTTTTTATGCCAATACATACAAGAGAGCTGACCTGTCTTTTCCCTTTCTTTGTAAAAGGAAAGTTGTAATTGATGTATTTCTCTATCGTATTTATAAATAAAGATGAGAATAAGAACTAGCATTCTGTTACTACAGAATGTTTTCATCAAAAACTAGTTACTGAAACATCTGAAGCACTATTTAAGAACAAACCAGACAACTACTTAGCTTCCTGAGAACTTACAGCTTAAGGTACTACAAACTGTAGATCTAAAAACTGCTAAGATTGCTGGCAAACTTAAAACACAAGTTTCCTGGTTTTACTAAAAGAACGTCTAAAGTGTTATGCCAGTGTGGTTACTGAGTTAGAACGAAGGTCAAAAACCTTTCAAAAATTAATGGTGTTGCAATTTTCAGACAACAGCTTGAAATATAGTTAAGGAATAAGAGAAAAAGAAGAATCACATACAGGAAAGAACGTGAAAGCGTATCCTATGTGAAAATTCTGTAACAGCATGACCAAAACATGTATTTACCATTTGCTGTCTGGCTTCTTCAAAGGCACGTTTTTCCTCTTCTAAACGCTGTCTGGCTTCTTCCTCTGCTTGCCGCCTCTGATTTTCCTGTCTTTGTCTTTCAAGTTCTTCAAACGTCACTTTCAGCTTACCAGGAGACAGAGGCTCTTGTGTCTCACCGTCTTCATTTTTACCCTGTGTAAGAAAAATGAAATAGTTATATCTTAAATAATGGATGTTTATTTCTTAGGTATTTTTAGATGAGTGGTTTACCATGACAAATGAAAAGCACTTGGTTTCCTTAAGGAATTGGTTTTGTT